AACTCTCCGGCCCGGTGTTATAGGTATCGTTTTTCGGCTCTAGGATGTAGGATTCGTGATCGGTATCTGGTCGGAACAGGAATCACCCGTTTCTTCGTAACGCGGCATTTTTATACAACTGAAAATGCCGCGTTCGTGGGTCTTCGTATTCGCTCGCGTTTTCCCGTTGCCCGGGCTTCGCGACGCGTGGGACTAAGTCCCAGCAGTGGGAGTCCGCGGCGATCGATCTATTCCGATCTCGCTCGACGGTGCTCGGCGTTATGCGGCCGTTACTGCCGCTTGTACCTGCGAATTATGCTTTTGTTTTATCGGGCACTATGCGCCCTCATCACTGCATTGCGCAGCAATGCAGCGGCGTTCGGCTGGGTGGTGTGTGCCAGAATGGGGGGATGCATCGTTACAAATTAAGATCTGCACGATATATCTTGACGATCGACTTGAGTCAGGCGTACTTTCAAATACCCTTGGCGAGGGAAAGTTGCGAGATAACGGCATTTAGTGTTCCCGATAAAGGATTATATCATTTCACGCGGATGCCATACGGGCTCACGGAAACTCCGGCTACATTTCAGCGTTTGTTAAATAAATTAATTGGCCCGGAGATGGAGCCTTACGCGTTTGCCTACCTTGACGACATTGTAATAGCTACGCCACTTTTGAAGGACACTTAGAGTGGCTCGAGCGAGTTTTAGATAAGATTTTCGATGCGGGTCTTCAAATCAATCCCGATAAATGCGAGTTTTGTCGTTCTCAGGTGAGATATCTGGGATTCGTGATGCAAAGGAACAGCCGTCAATTCCAAAAAAGTACGACCTATCTTAGAATATCCCGTGCCGCGTAATATTAAGCAATTGCGCCGGTTCTTGGGAATGTCGTCTTGGTATCGTTGATTCATCCCACAATTTACCACTACGGGGGAACTGTTAACGAGATTACTGAAAAAGAATCAGCGTTGGGAGTGGGAAGTCGAGCAAGAGAAAGCTTTTGAGGAAATTCGCGCTCGGCCGCTCCTACCTTGTCGTGTCCGAATTTTGACGTTCCATTTGTATTGCAGACCGATGCTAGTTCTGTTGGATTAGGTGCCGTGTTATCTCAAGTTAACGAAGACAAAGAGACTATTATCGCGTTTGCGAGTCGCGCGTTATCGGCGGCCGAGACGAGATATTCGGTCACAGAGCAGGAATGTATAGCAGTCATTTGGGTAATACGAAAGTTTAGACCTTATTTAGAGGGTTACCGATTTACTGTAGTCACGGATCACAGTAGTTTGCGTTGGCTCCATCATTTGAAAAATCCTACGGGAAGATTGGCGCGATGGGCGTTGGAACTCCTAGAATATGATTACGAAATTGTGCATAGGAAAGGGGCGCTACACCAGGCACCGGACGCCTTGTCGCGTATGTTTGAGGGTGACACCGAGACGGCGGCGGAGATTAATAACGTGTGTTTAGTCGCGGGGGTGGAGACGTTGATTTTAAGAGACACGGAGGATTCCTGGTATAGGGATCGTTTCCGAGAGATTTCGGAAAAGCCCACGGCTTTGGGGGAGTGGAAAATAGTGGATAGCCAGCTATACTTTTTAAGCCCTCGTGCAGTGATCTCCGAGGTTGAGGATCTGAATCGCTGGAAATTAGTTGTACCGCTAGAGTTACGGGCGGAGGCTTTGCGCGAATCGCACGATGTTCCGCAGTCGGGACATTTAGGCGTGGAGAAAACGTATCACCGTTTATCAATTGCTTACTAATGGCTTCGTATGTTTCGAGATGTAACGAAGTATGTTAAACAGTGTGTAGTCTATCAGAGTACAAAAGTCGAACAGGCGAGACCGGCATGTCTGATGGGGCGTCGCGTGATCGAGGATCCGTGGATGATCGTTGCCACCGATATTATGGGTCCGTTGCCGAGGAGTAAATCAGGTCACGCGTATATTTTGGTCATTCAAGACTTGTTTACGAAGTGGGTGGAATGCCGTGCACTGCGGGCCGCGAATGGAAGAAATATCAGAGACGCTTTTACAGATTTGATTCTCTCGCGATGGGACACACCAAGGTTTTTGCTGACCGACAACGGCACAGAATTAAATAAGATTTTGCGAGAGTTTGCTTTGGAGAACTGAATTAAACATACGACGGTGCCGCCCTATCACGCTCAAGCGAATCCGGTTGAGAGGGTAAATCGAGTCCTTAAGACAATGATTGTCTCTTTTCTGGATCGCGATCCAGTAAGTAAAGCTTACTCCCAAACTTTCAATTACAATTTTAATTTCATAAAAGTTGATACAGTTTATTTGTATAAACTAAAATACAGTTCAGAGGTATACATTTGTATTAAATTATCATTTTGTTTCAAAGCTTAAATATTGAATGTATTGACATTTAGGGTTGTTCAAATTTAATTTTATAAACTTAAATCATTTATTGTTGTTATTTTAACATCCGAGCGAAATTATTTATACATATGTATGTAGATAACGTTATGTTTGTCTAAAAAACTAAGTTAGCCATTTCTAAAACTTGCTATTTTATAGTTATGTCGCATTTAACTTTCCACATCTCGTGTATAACGTTAGATAATTTAAGATAGTAGCAGAAAAATTAGTAACTAGTATGTTAAAAAGATTGGAGTAACAACATAATACGTATGTATGTATGCAGATCGGACCATTCCAACTTCCTGCGAGAGTTGACGGCGCAATTTATAGTCATTTTCTCTCAGAAGAATTACCAGAATTACTAGAGGATGTATCACTGGAGAGGCGACAAGTTATGTGGTTCTAGCAGGACGGAGTACCTCCGCACAATGCAAGAAGCACACGAGAAATTTTGAATAGGAAATATCCTAATATGTGGATTGGTCGCGGAGGTCATCGAGCGTGGCCAGTTAGATCACCAGATCTAACGCCGCTCGATTTCTTCCTATGGGGAACAATAAAGGAATATGTGTATTTCATACCCATAAATACTAATCGAACTAGGGATCTCTCGTTCTGCGTCTCTCTGCCTTTTACCTAACGCGCTACACCACGAGAACTTCGCCGTTTTGATGTTGTAACATTGCGTATATAACTGAATAGACTTATTCTAAATGTAAGAATATATTTTCTAAATTTATACGTGTGTTATATTTGTTCCAAGATAAGATGTCGATCTTATTTTATTCAAGGATGTAGAATTAAATTATCGATTTTATTTTAAAATAATCTTAATTTTATAATATATAGGGTTGACTAAAGATGAAGTATGTCAAGAACATTTTTTTCCTCAGTATTAGAAATCCTTTCTGTGAGTGAGGGAGCGAATGTGTGGGCGTGGGTTCGTTTTTGTCTTTGTCTTTTGTTTACTCTTTAATCCGATTGGCGTTAATGATGTTGAAGAATTAAGGCTGGTGAGCACGAGGCGAGTACTATGGTGGCAGATGACGCTCGTCGAGAACTCCTCGGTCTGTTTTAAGGAGGGGGGAGTTGTGACGTGACATTTTGTCAGTCAAAATATATGAGTCACTTTTCATAGTAATATGTATGGAAAAAAACCGTTCGGATACCATTACCTAGAAAAAGAAATCATAATAAATTTCTTAATACTAAACATTAGAAAGAAGCATAAATGATGTAAAAGAAGACTATTCATTCATTTTTATGTACGTTTATTATAAGGTTAATTATACATAGGGTGTTTTACCTGTGATATTACTTCAGGTTCGTTATTGTATGTTTCTTTCTAATGTACAGTATTAACAACTTTATTATGATTTCTCTTTCTTGGTGATAGTATCAGAAAGGTGCTTTTCCAGTATGTTTACATTGATGTTCTCTAAATATACATTTTATTATTAAAGATAATGCAATAGAAGTGAATATGTATGAAAATAGTTTAAATTAAAAGCCTTTAGTCTTTTATTAGTCAAATTTCTAATTTTTGTTTGAAATTCCGGTTTTGAGTTGGTTATATAAAAACCTATGTAGTATTATTATGAAATTAGTTCATAAAATTTTTGAAAAAAAATGACTGAAATTATTTAAGTTATTTATATATTTTGCAGGTACACAATTTAAAGGTAATTGATCAAAATGGTGTTCAATTGGGAGAAGGAAATACCGTAAAGATACTAGATGATCAAGGGACAATAGACACAAAATGCAATGTACTTAACAACAGTCAGTATATATTAAACGATAATAATACTGTTTCGTGTGAGATGGCCGTGCCTCGCGTTGTAATGTTGCGAAGGCTGTCCCCACACGTTTTCCCGGTGTGAATCCTCTCGGGAAGCGTGGTCGAAGAATATGTATTCCTCTGCAGTTGAGGAGGCTGTTGCCAACAACGGATTTGCGGCCACTGACTATCGGTGGAGCCGCGGAGGGATCTCCCAAATGATGCAAAGGCACTTAGAAAGTAAATACTTGACTTTATCAACTGCACGAGCACGCACGGTGATACAGGGATCGATAGCTCTTTAGAGAGCGTAACGGTAACAATTAAATGATCGCCATCGACGGTTACAATGGTAATAATAAGAAGGATCCAGAAGGATCGCAATCGAAACGGTAACGAACGGATCGCACAGGACTCGCACGGAGAGAGGGAACGAACCGCGGGCGAAGATAACCGAAGAGTCGCAAGCGCGTCGCGAACGATAAGAAAGTGCCAGAGCAGTGTCCAGTCACGCTATTGGTCTAAAGATAACGCGAGCGTTAAATGTGACACGCGCCAACTTACGAAATATCGAACAAAAGCCGCCCCCGTTGAAAGGACTTACTTTCAAAATAAAAATAGAAATAGAAAACGACGGCTACATGACGGTTGTAGATGGCGATAATACTTATGCTAAGTCTTATGACTAAATCACATATATTTGGCTGTTTATATGCAAAACATATTGACGGTAACTAATATGATTTCGCGTGAACAAAGAGACGATTCGACGCGAACAAATTGATATGGCGGAATGAGAGAAAAATATAATCGTAAAATTAACTTATTTTTAACACACGAAATGAAACGCTAGGTTTCTATTGGTAAGATAGCAAGCTTGGTTAATGGTCTAGTGAAAAGACCCTTTGTGGTACGGACGGTAGCGGTCCGCACGTTGCCATCAGTTCCTGGATGAACTTCTTCAACGCGACCCAACAACCACTGGAAAGGTGCTAGGTTCGGCTGCTTCAGGAGCACCATTTGGTTGGGTGTCAGCTGATCACCCTTGTTTGTCCTCCACTTGGATCGCTCCTGGAGGGTATGCAGATATTCTTGGCTCCACCTGCGCCAAAAATGTTGTCTGACTTGTTCGACACGCTGCCAACGTATTAGCCTATTCTCATTTACATTAGTTAAATCCGGATGAGGGAAACTATTCAGCGCGGTGCCAATTAAGAAATGTCCTGGGGTCAAATAACTAAGATCGTTAGGATCTTCGGTTAACGGAGTGAGAGGGCGTGAATTTAGAATGGCCTCTACTTCGCAAAAAATTGTTTGTAATTCTTCGAAAGACAAGGATGTCTTCCCGACTATTCGGATAAGATGACGCTTAGCGGCTTTGACTGCAGCCTCCCACAAACCGCCAAAATGAGGCGTGTTGGGAGGAATGAATTTCCATGTAGTTTCGTGTTCTCGCAAGGAATTAGCTATTTGTGTTTGCGTTTGGTCGTCGCGTAAAATATTAAAGAACTCTTTGAGCTGACCATGAGCACCCACGAACGTCGTTCCATTGTCGGAATAAATGCAAGACGGCTTTCCTCTGCGAGACACGAATCGCTTTAGTGCGGCTATAAATGTCTCAGCCGTGAGGTCACTAACCAGTTCGAGATGCACGCACTTAGTGGCGAAGCATACGAAGACAGCCAAATAAGCCTTACGCGTGCGAGCATTGCGTGCTTTAGATTCTCGCAAGATGAATGGGCCTGCGTAATCGACGCCGCAGTGCGTAAACGATCGCGAAGCATTAACTCGTTCGGTAGGCAACGATGCCATAATTGTTTCAGATTGCACGGGCTTGCTTCTAAAACATGTTACACAATTTCTGATCACCTTTCGAGTGGCGGATCTTAGAGAAATTGGCCAGAAACGCTGCCTTACTGCTGCCATTGTAGCTTGCGCGCCGGCGTGAGCGTTGCGCTCGTGCTCTTGCTCTATTATACGCTGAGTTAAAATGTCATCGCGTGGCAATAAAATTGGATGACGCGCGTCAGAGCTGAGCTCCGAATTTACTAGTCTGCCACCCACTCGTATTAAACCATCGCTACAAATGAATGGGGATAAAGCTAGTACGTTACTTGTTGTATGAAGGGTGCGACCTTCCTGAAGGTTCTTGTATTCTGCGGAAAAGACTTGACGCTGTATGGATTTGCACATAATTTGCAGTGCGGTTAGTATGCCCTGGGGGGGCACGAAAATTGTAGGTTCGCTCGGACGATGCGATTTGAAAAATCTTAAACAATATGTGAGTATGCGACACGCTTTACTGAGCTTTGAATGGTCGCGCAGTAACTGGTGCACAATTAAAGAATCGGACACGGCGACGGCCGTGAAGCACTTCCTTTGTTCGGGAATGTTCTCCAGGGAACGCGTGAAACCGGAATCGGGCCAAAAGCTAGAGTTATGCTGTAGGTAGCTAGGCCCATGCCACCACATACGAGAGCTTATTAGTTCCTGTGGGTCGAGACCGCGTGACAGGAGATCCGCTGGATTGTCGGTCGATTTTACATGATGCCAATCGTCGGGATTGGTATAGTTTTGAATTTCTCCCACCCTATGAGCGACGAAAACTGCCCATCTTCGCGACGGGGAGGATATCCAGTTGAGAACAATCGTAGAATCCGACCAACAATATGTTCGGATGACGGTTAAATCGAATGTCGACCGAATTTTCTGAATTAACCTGGTTAATAGTAGCGCCGCCGAAATCTCAAGGCGCGAAAGTGATAGCGCTTTGAGGGGGGCTACGCGAGATTTTGAGCATAGTAGCTCGATTTGATACGTATTTTCCCCGATTTCCGACCGGATATATACACAAGCTCCATAGACCCGTTGGCTTGCATCGCAAAAGCCGTGTATTTGACTGGAATCGGGGGATGCGACATGCTTGATACATCGCGGGATGCTTAGTCGATTAATATCAATCATTTGTGCTTTGAGCTCTGACCACCGCGCGTGAAGCTCTTGCGGAACCGATTCGTCCCAGTCGATACCCAGCTGCCAAAGCTCTTGTAAAATTAGCTTTGCCCGCACGACGACTGGACCTACTAGACCGAGGGGATCATAAAGTTTGGAAGTATCGGACAAGATGGCTCGCTTGGAAATTATCGCGGAGTTGTCCCCGGGGTTGTAAGAGAAACTGAATGCATCGCTAGAGCGCATCCAATGAATGCCCAAGATGGACGATTCCGAGTTATTGGGGATTGCACCTACCGTACCTACCGTATGTTACGGTGGAAAGCTCGTATGTTGCCACTGTAGAAGTGAAATCATCTCGCCAAAGAATGCGCTGATAGCGTGTTTGTGACGGATGCACTAGAATTTGGCGATACATTTTAACGATATCGGCCGAAAATGCGAAACGATGTGTACGAAATCGCAACAGTATAGTAAATAGATCTTGCTGTACGGTAGGACCGACCATAAGCGTGTCGTTCAATGATATGCCAGCCGCGTCCTTGGCGGAGGCGTCGAAGACAACGCGAAATTTATTGGCGGCGAGTGCCTTAACGATGCAATGATGCGGTAAGTAGAAGGACTTTGGATCCTCGGGGGGGTCGGAAATTAATTTCATATGACCTAGTGTATTGTATTCATTTATGAATTGCGAATATCGCGTTTTTAATTCCGAGTCGCGGCTAAGACGCCTTTCAATGCCACCGAGGCGTTTTAAGGCGATCTCCCTAGAGTTAACGAAAGCGTCAGGCTCGGACTCTTTAAAGGGAAGTTTGACAATGAATTTGTCTTGATCGGTTCGAGTCATGTTTTCTAAAAAATGTCGCTCACAGTGAGCTTCCTCTGAGGTATAATGATTGGAAACCGCCGAGATGTTCTCTACGTCCCAAAAACGAGATAATTGCTCGTGCAACTGCTTGTTGCTTATTGAAGCATGAAGAGAGTGCACATGTGAAGCTGCTTTCGGTGCAGTGTGCAATCGACCCGCCAATATCCACCCGAAGCGTGTCTTCTGTAAGGTAGGATGTGAGGGCGTTGCCTTGATTTGACCGATACAGAGCAAGCTCCAAAAATGTTCCGCGCCGATTAAAACGTCTATCTCAGACGAGACGTGGAACTGCGGATCGGCTAATTCGAGATTAGCCGGTATTTCGAAGGCATTTCTTTTAAGCGTGAAAGCCGGAAGTTTGCCGGTTACATGTTCGGTAACAATGCAATCGACTAGAATGCTGAAAGAATTCGTGCGCGAGTGCAGCCGTATTTCAGCCGCTTGGAAGGCTCGCGTGGTAACATTGTTTATTCCCGAAATTGAAATGTCCGAGGAACGTGTTTTGATATCGAGAGGGTCTGCGAGGTGCCGCGAGATAAAGTTAATCTGAGAGCCCGAATCTAATAAGACACGGCATGCTCTGCGACAACCGTTTGCGTCGTAAACATAAGCGAGAACGGTCGAGAGCATGACGTCGCTGTGATCCGGAGTCGCGAGACCGCTCATGACAACGGGAGCAGGAGAGGTGGCTAGAGCCGGCGCGTCTACTGATCCACGATCACCTGATTCGGAGATGTCGGACTTGACCGACGTGGCAGCAGCAAGGTGAAGCAACGTGTTATGCTTGGCCTTGCAAATTTTGCAATTGCCAGAAGAGCATTTATTTGATGTATGATCCACCGTAAACAGTTAATACAAATTTTGCGCTTTTTGATTTCCGCAATCCTTTGCGGAATGGGTAATGCTATGAGCTTTTCGCAATGATAGATGAGATGCTCGCCCTTACAAAAGGAGCATTTTATTTTTATAGAGGCAACACAAGATTGCTGCTTCGCGCTCGATTGCGACTGCGACCGCGTGTTTACATTCTTGGATCTACTGCTTGTCTCAAGAGTTATACACCGATGAGCAACAAAATCCGTAAATTGTTTGAGTGTAGGCAGAGCGGGGCCTACCAATGACAATTGCCACTCTCGCGATGTGAGCGCGTCGAGCTTATTGCTTAAAATATAAACAAGTAAATCGTCCCACTGCGCTGTGGGGCGTTTTAACGCCTGAAGGGCGTGAATATGTCGAGTAGCACCATCCGTGATCTGACGCAATTCAGCGACGTTTTCTTTCGCCATGGTTGGCAAATCTAAAATAGCTTGTATATGACTCTGCACAATAGCGCGTTTGTTATCGTGTCGTTCCTTCAAAAGGTCCCATGCTACTTGGTAGTTTGTATCGGAAATTTCCAGCGAGCTAATTACTTTGAATGCATCGCCGGTGAGAGAAGCTCTTAAATACTGCAACCTTTGAACAGGACTTAACGACGCGTTTTCATGTATAAGAGAATTAAAACTGTCGAAGAACGGGCACCACTCGTCATATTTCCCGGAAAATTTCGGTAATTCTAATTTCGGTAGTCTTATGTGGCCGAAAGACTCGCGGCCGACGACACTAGAAGACCACCGTGACAGAGAGGCTGCGACGCGTTGCGCAGTCGCGGGATAGAGCAATTCGCGTATTTGAGCACATAAAGCATAATGAAAGTCTTCGAAGGGAGCGCGATGTGCTTCTTCGGATTCGTCGATTAATTCTAAGTTTGTTTGAACGCTATCATAATCTGTCCAGTACCTGTCGAGTTTAGCACGACGCTCTTCGAGTTGAGCCGCGATTGACGGCGTAACGGACGCGATAGCTTCCGTAAATGTACGTATTCGCGTGCACGCGGCGATAATCATTTCGTGCCTGCGCTGGAGCGACGCGGCGTCCTCGTTGTCAACTTTCGGCATGACGAACGCAGAACGATAAATAAACCCGTTAAAATTGACTTGATTACTGGCACCGGCACTGAGATAGTTGCTCTCACCTTACAAAATTGAATGCGTGTGTCGCACTATGATGGCTGCGTCGATGATGCGTCAGATGATGCGTTGAAGACGTCCTCCCAGAGAGCGATGAAGACTGCCGAAGACCGCGTGACGTCGCAGGATGATGCCTGTTGCTCCGATCGCGTGGCAATGGCTGCTCTGCGCTGCTGGGCCGGATGTGCCTTGACGTCGCGAGAAACGACTGATGTACCTCGATGCACCGAGAGCTATGTTTGCGAGCCTCGGTATGTCGTGGTGAAAAGGTTATAGGCTGAAGAGCAGCTAACCTTGCATGTCTCGAATCCCCGATGAGAATTTGCGTGCTCGGCAGAGTGCTAATGGCGGACCTCGAGTACTCGTCTCACTGGCGATGGCGAGCCCCGGCGGTTGCTCCGCAATATCAGTGGCAAATGATTACCGCTGAATCCGGCTCGAAGGACCAATTTGTTTCGTGTGAGATGGCCGTGCCTCGCGTTGTAATGTTGCGAAGACTGGCCCCACGCGTTTTCCCGGTGTGAATCCTCTCGGGAAGCGTGGTCGAAGAATATGTATTCCTCTGCAGTTGAGGAGGCTGTTGCCAACAACGGATTTGCGGCCACTGACTATCGGTGGAGCCGCGGAGGGATCTCCCAAATGATGCAAAGGCACTTAGAAAGTAAATACTTGACTTTATCAACTGCACGAGCACGCACGGTGATACAGGGATCGATAGCTCTTTAGAGAGCGTAACGGTAACAATTAAATGATCGCCATCGACGGTTACAATGGTAATAATAAGAAGGATCCAGAAGGATCGCAATCGAAAAGGTAACGAACGGATCGCGCAGGACTCGCACGGAGAGAGGGAACGAACCGCGGGCGAAGATAACCGAAGAGTCGCAAGCGCGTCGCGAACGATAAGAAAGTGCCAGAGCAGTGTCCAGTCACGCTATTGGTCTAAAGATAACGCGAGCGTTAAATGTGACACGCGCCAACTTACGAAATATCGAACAAATATAAAGATATTAGATCCGAGTACATTGAAAGTTCTTGATGCCAGTGCTACTACAATCTTGAACTTACATTAGACGAGGCCAGTATACATTATCCCAACTTTATGTCTGATTTGACTCAGACTAACTCGAACATGTACTTGAACACCTCATTATGTATGCCAAGGTTAATTTTTTATATATAAGAATTCTTTTAAATTTAATACTCATCTTTCGTGATTTACTTTTAAAATTATTCTATTTAAATACATTTTTTTCATTTTGTTTTTAAATTAATTGTGATATAATTTTTTTGAAGAAGAATTAAGTCACTTGGTTTCGAATAGGAAGATCTTGTAATAAGAATACAAAGGCATATACTGAGGTTTCATTGTATGAAGATAAAGATAGTATCATATGGGTTTTACTTTTTAATTTAGTAGAATCTAAATAATAGTACTATATGAGTTTTTAAAGATTAAAGGTACCACTTGTATTCTACTTTTTAATTTGGTAGAATTTAACTTGGCGCCGACTGTTGATATCAAATCTTGTATACAAATGATAAATGTCATTAAAATTAAGTAAGTAATAAGGTAGAGTAACTTGGCGCCGACTATTGATACCAAATCTTTTATACAAATGATACATGTCATTAGAATTAAGTAAATAAGGTTAATATCACGTAGGTTTTTAAAGATGGTTCTACTAAATAGCAAATGCGATTAGTCAGTTTCACAGTTGATTAAATAATTGACGTTGGTGGGACTGGCCCAAATGGTTTTTTGATTTAAAAACCTACGTGATATTACCCTTATTTACTTAAATCTAATGACATGTATCATTTGTATAAAAGTTTTGATATCAATAGTCAACGCCAAGTTAAATTCTAATTACTTACTTAATTTTAATGAGACATTTATCACTTGTATAAAAGATTTGATATTAACAGTCGGCGCCAAGTTAAATTCTATCACCAACGCCAATTACTTAATCGACTGTGAAACTGACTAATCACATTTACTGTTTAGTAGAACCATCTTCAAAGACCTACGTGATATTATCCTTATTTACTTAAATCTATTGACAGTTTGTATAAAAGATTTGATATCAATAGTCGGCGCCAAGTTAAATTCTACTATTAATAAGATTCTACTAAATTAAAAAGTAAAACCCTTGTGGTATTATCTTTATCTTTATATACAATGAAGCCTAGTATATGTCTTTGTATTCTTATTGGAAGATCTTCCTATTCCAATCCTAGTGGTTTCTTCTTTAAAAGAATTATGTCATAATTAATTTAAAGGCAATTAATTCAAACACATTTATTCCTCCAACCAAAGTAGTAGTAGTAATTCCAATCAAAGTAGTAGCAATCTTCCTTGAAAACGTTATTATATTACAAAATTGCATTACTTTATTCATCTCAAGTGTTACCACAATAAATTAAAGAAGTAACAGTACAAAATGAAAAATATTAATTTAAATAGAAAAATTTGTTATGTAAAAACACTTGGCGCTGCTAGATCGAATAAGAAAAACTATAAAACCACCTAAAAGTTACAACTAGTAGTTTTTTGAACATGGCCGGAGACACTACTGTGTTTCCTGACTATTAATATATAAGAATAGACGTAAAGGTAATGATAATTTGAAAATATAAGAATAGATGTAAAGATAATGATAATCTGAAAATAATAGCAAACTTAATCTGAATGTTACATTTAACAAAAATAGAATTTACTGTTTATTCCATTACTTTTGAAAATAACTTATCCCAACCCATTTAGTGGTGTGAAGTAGCTCTCGCTTTGCGTTAGTACACATGTCTGCATTACTGTACGAGGATTTCGACTTTCTACGCGAAATAAGAACTACCTCACACCACTGAATGGATTGGTATGGGTTAGGTTATTTTCAAGAATAGTGGAGCTCCCCCACAGGGGGGGCGGAACCTACTGTATCTACGCATGTTATTTTTTTTAATTAAAATGAGAAATCAAAATATATACAAGTAAATACGTTTAATTATCATTTTCATACCACTTGTGTTTTACTTTTTAATTTGGTAGAATTTAACTTGGCGCCGACTGTTAATATCAAATCTTGTATACAAATGATAAATGTCATTAAAATTAAGTAAGTAATAAGGTAGAGTAACTTGGCGCCGACTATTGATATCAAATCTTTTATACAAATGATACATGTCATTAGAATTAAGTAAATAAGGTAATATCACGTAGGTTTTAAAGATGGTTCTACTAAATAGCAAATGTGATTAGTCAGTTTCACAGTTGATTAAGTAATTGACGTTGGTGGAACTGGCCCAAATGGTTTTTTGACCAGCAGCACCCACTCTTAGCGCTTTTTCTACCTTTTTTTTAAAAAGGTAAGTTTATATATACATACAAATGATACATGTCATTAGAATTAAATAAGTGTAAGGATGGTACCTCTTAGATCTTTAGAGATAGAATTTTTAAAGACTAGTTAATTAAACGATATATTTTATGGGAAAAATCCATATTATATGATCTTTTATACAAATGATAAATGTCATTAAAATTAAGTAAGTAATAAGGTAGAATTTAACTTGGCGCCGACTATTGATATCAAAACTTTTATACAAATGATACATGTCATTAAATTTAAGTAAATAAGGATATCACGTAGGTTTTTAAAAAAGATGGTTCTACTAAACAGCAAATGTGATTAGTTAGATTTACAGTCAATTAAGTAATTGGCGTTGGTGCATTTGGCCCAAATGTTTTTTTACCAGCAGCACCCACTCTTAGCGCTTCTTTTACCTTTTTTTTTTAAAAAAAGGTAAGTTTATAAAGATAGTACCAAATGGGTTTTACTTTTTAATTTAGTAGAATTTAAATAATAGTATGGTTATTTACATGGGTTTTTAAAGATAGAATTTAACTTAGTATAACCAACTCAAAACCGAAAGTTCAAACAAAAATTAGAATGAAGATAGTATTACATGTTTAACATACACTTCAAAATCTTGAATCAAATATAGTGTTCTAGGTGAGAGATCAAACTATAACGGTTTTTTATATTTTAAAAACCCATAAGATATCAATATTAATTTTAAAATTCTTATACCAAACTATTTTAACGTAATACATTTTATTATTGAAAGATAATGGAATGGAAATATTCCATTATCTTATATTGACCATTATCTTATATTGGAAATATTGAATATGAATATGTTCAAGTGCATGTTCGAGTTAGTATTACATACGTATAATCAAATACGATGTTAATAAACGTAATAAATTTTTTTGGTATAATGTTATTACGAAATTGATTATCAGAACAATCCTTTCTTACAATATTAATTATTAATTGGAATAATAATTTGTAAACGTATACTTATGAAGATATACGTGATTGAAAACTGGTTAACTTACATTCCAAAACCTTGAACTAGGTCAGAGGTCAAACTATAACAGTTTTTTACAATTTAAAAGTAAATCACAAAAGATCAGTATTAATTTTAAAAGAATTCTTATGCCAAATTGTCTATTTTAACGTAATACATTTTATTATTGAAAGATAATGAAATACCATGAAAAATGACTCATATATTATTGAAGGTGCAAGTTTAAAGTAACATACACCAACAATTCCCAACTTTACGTCTGACTTGAATACCTCATTATGTATGCCAAGGTTTTTTACCATTTCATTATCTTCCAATAATAAAATGTATTACGTTAAAATAGACAATATGGTAAGACAATTTAATAAGATTTCTTTTGAAATTAATACCGATCTTTTCTGATTCATTTTTGAGATATAAAGAACTGTTATTTTGATCTCTCACCTAGAATACTATTGTATATTTGATTCAAGATTTTGGAGTACATAAGAATTCTTTTGAAATTAATACTGATCTTTTGTGATTCATTTTTGAAATATAAAAAACTATTATTC